ATTATCCATCCTGTCATTTTTCTAGCAGATGCGATTGATACAATGTTATGGTGGACTGGCAGCAAAATCCCAATTTTGTTCCCAATCCCCATCAGTTTCACAACTCTCAAAGTGGAATCCTACCAGCTTGTTCCCTTGGAAACACTGCAAATGAACTGGAATTCTTTGAACTATTCTTTGACCAGCCCTTGATGGAAATTACTGTCAGGGAAAGTAACAAATACAGTATTTTCAGCACACCACAGTCAAGACAACTGTGGTTGAAATGTACCTGCTTTTTGCAACAATAATGCTTATGCCTCATGTCTATAAGCATAACATAAAATCATACTGGTCCACAGATCAGCTAATTTGTACCCCGGTCTTCAGTGAAATCATTCCAGTGAACAGGTTTATCTTACTGTTACGTATGTTGCAATTCTCTGACAAAACCAGGCCTGACAGAAGACAGGTTATACAAGATTAGAAATGTTTTTATGTATCTGAAACAAAAGTTCAACATGTACTTTTATCCATTCAAGAATCTTGTAACTGACGAGTCTTTGATTTTGTTCAAAGGTAGACTGTCGTTCAAGCAGTACATACCGAGCAAGAGGAAACGCTTTGGTATAAAACTGTTTGTACTCTGTGACTGTGACAGTGGCCTGGTATTGGATATAACTGTATACACAGGAAGTAAAACAATGAAAGATACCAGGATGTTATTGGGTATCTCAGGTGACATAGTAAGAAACATGATGACACTTTATCTTGGTAAGGGACATACATTATATACTGATAACTGGTGCAAAAGCCCTTTACTCAGTGATTTCTTGTGAGTGAACTTAACAGATGTGTGTGGAACAGTGCGTTCCAATCGTAAACATATACCCAGGATCAATGCAGGCACTCGTAGTCATGAGGTGCAGGTGTTTACTGCCAATGACATCATGGTATTACGGTGGCATGACAAATGAGATGTCACATTGTTGACAACCATTCACCCTAACGAAATGAAAGACAGTGGCAAAGTTGATCGAGTAACTAATAAACGTATTCTAAAGCCAGTAACAGTGATTGATTATACACAAAACATGAGTTTGGTTGACAAATGTGACATGCAGACTGGTTTTGTCAATGGTGTTTGTAAGAGTTACAAGTGATACATGAAACTTTTCTTCCATCTCGTGGACATTTCAATGCTCAATGCATATAATATGTACTGAATAAAGACCAGCAACAGACCACCATATGGTGAATTTTGTTTGTCTGTTGTCAGACAACTAATAATGAAGTTCCAGATAACAACACCTGCTATACAAAACCATCCTCGAACTTCTTAGGAAATACCCAAGCATTTGAGGAGGGAAGGTGATCACTTCCTAATACAGCTTCCTGCAACTAAGAAGAAATGGGCTCAAAAGAGATGTGCTGTCTGTGTACAAACAAAATGACGGGAACAAAGATGCAAAGAACCTCGGTTTATGTGCGAGGAATGTAAGGTACCTCTGTGCATGATACCTTGTTTCAAGGACTTCCACAGACTGCAGCAATTCTAGAAACATGTCCTATGACTGTACATACGTAAATACAGTGGACCCCCGCCTTACGATGACATCACGTTATGTTAAATCCGCCATACAATACATTTTAACGCAAAAATTTTGCCTTGCCTCACGCTAACAAACTCGCCTTACATGATTCATCCGGGACGCGTCCCACGTGTGGTCTCAGCACCAGTGTTTACAAGCCAGCCAGTGCGGTCGCATCTATGCATACATTCGGTACATTTCACCTTATCCCAGTGTTTTTTGTGCTTGTAACTGCAAAATAAGTTACCATAGGCCCCAAGAAAGCTTCTAGTGGCAACCCTGTGGTAAAAAGGGTGAGAATTAATATGGAAATTAAGAAAGATTTGAAGGGTTTGGGGCTAACCCTGAGAAGCCTATGCCAGTTGTGGAATCCATTGTGCCTACTTCAAAGATTAAGGAAATGTATGCAAAGTGTGTTGAAGTGCAAACCTTTATGGATGAAAATCACCCTAACACAGCTATTGCAAGCCATGCTGGTGACTATTACAATGACAATGTTGTGGCCCATTTTAGGCAAATCTTAAAGGAATGGGAGGTACAGACCTCTATGGACAGATTTGTTGTGCGACAGAGGTCCAGTGACTCTCAAGCTGGTCCTAGTGGCATTAAAAGAAGAAGGGAAGTAACCCCAGAAAAGGACTTGCTACCTCAAGTCCTAATGGAAGGGGATTCCCCTTCTAAACAATTACTTACACACTCTCCCCTCCTCCCATCCCATCAATCATCATCAGATCTACAATAAAGTTAAGTGTCATGTATTCTGTTCTTTACTAAGAATAGAATACATGACACTTATTTAGTAATTGTGCATGTCTTCTTCAGTTTGTGTGTATTAAAATTAATATTTCATGTGGTAATTTTTTTTTCATACTCTGGGGTGTCTTGCACGGATTAATTTGATTTCCATTATTTCTTATGGGGAAAATTAATTCGCCTTACGATAATTTTGGCTTACGATGAGCTCTCAGGAACGGATTAATATCGTAAGGTGGGGGTCCACTGTATATAATAGAACATTAGTAATATACAACATTTCTGCATGTTTATTGTTGTAAACAATACTGGTAAACAACATTATAATAATAACGTTAGTGCAGTTATTGTGTTCAATACAGTGAGTGTACGTATATATATACAGTGGACCCCCGCATACCGGACGCCTTGCATAACGGACAATCCGCATACCGACGTTTTGTATCGCTAAAATTTTTCATATACCCCTAAAAAACATCTCACTCCTTCGTAACTTTCCAATGTGCGGCCTGAGCCGCTCACATGCGGGTGAGCATTGTTTCCCAGCCTTACGGGTAACTTCCAGCATTCAATGGACATTTCGTATATTCAGTGTTTTTGGTGAGTTTTTTTCTGAAAATAAGTACTGGGCCCCCAAGATACTTTGTCAACGCTAAGCAATAAGGGTGAGAGATGATAGATTTTTGGGATTGAGGAAAAATTCTGATAAGTATGAAACCTGCTGAGTGGTGGTCCGAGCTGGCAGTTGTTAAAAAAAACCCCAATCAAAACCATCGATATCTATTGGTGATAAGTTGCTTGTGCTACACCGTCAGCTGCTGCTGCTGCTGTAGTACCGTCTGCTGCTGCTGTAGCATCGTCTGCTGCTACTGTAGCATCGTCTGCTGCTGCTGTAGCATCGTCTGCTGCTGCTGTAACATCGTCAGTTGGTGCTGTAGCATCATCTGCTGCTGCTGCTGCTGCTGTAGCATCGTCTGCTGCTGCTGCTGCTGCTGCTGCTGTACCACCGTTGTTGGTGTGCTTATTGAGAATACCAAGAAACAATTAATCCCAGAGGATTTGCCACCCAGGATAACCCAAAAAAGTCAGTGTCATCGAAGACTGTCTAACTTATTTCCATTGGGGTCCTTAATCTTGTCTCCCAGGATGCAACCCACACAAGTCGACTAACACCCAGGTGAACAGGGAAAAATGCTGAACTAGATGCTCTTGTGAATTTTAGAGCCAGCAAAGGTTGGTTAAGATTTTAAGATCTAGTGACTAACTAGTGTGATAGGCCTGTTCGGAAGAAAATCAAGACCTGCAGTATAGGAGGAAGAGCATCCCAGGATATGTTCTATATCTTGTCTGCATCTTCATAAAGGTAATGTCATTTATTCTTATTAGTTAGTATACATATACATATATATTGTCATGTATACTATACTATTGTGCATGTATCCTTCTCTTGTGTGTAGGAAAATGTAATTTCATGTGTAAAATTTTTTAAAGAGGTTTTGGGTTTTGGCACGGGATTAATTTGATTTCCATTATTTTATGGGGAAAATTCAATGTCGCATAACACCTCGAAATATGCATAACACCAGCCCTCTTGACACGGATTAAGGTGTAAGTGTGGTTCTTTGGGTTTATATGTTTTTTGAGTCAACCATATGCATATATAAATAGTAATTTTAAATAAAATATAAATAAAAATATATATATATATATATATATTATATACAGTATTGGTCTCACAGGCCACAAATGTTACTAGAAAAAGATAAAATTAAGAAAGAAAAGAAAAAAGTATAAAAATGTAATGTAAACAAATGCGATTTTGCGGAAGTCGCTGATGTTGCCGCCACCCGGTCATTTTGGGTCAACTTCACACATTTATATCTCAGTAAGTACTTGTTTTTTTTATTACCTTCACAAAATTATTATCTTTAATTCTGTAAGAATTTTTTTTTTTTTTTTTTTTTAAATTTCTTGGACACTGGGGAACCCATTGAAATTTGGCCTGTGGACCCTGAAAGGGTTAATATTCATGAGACAAAGAAAAAGCCTTCAGTCATGTAACATACAATATTTAGGAGGCTTCCATTTTTTTGTGTACATGTTAGTGCTCTGATTATATTAAACAATGATATTGTAGACTAAATATTACAGTGACATACAGGTATACATCAAGACAAACATGATATATATTAAGACAAACAGGTATACATCAAGACAAACATGATATATATTAAGACAAACAGGATATACATCAAGACAAACATGATATATATTAAGACAAACAGGATATACATCAAGACAAACATGATATATATTAAGACAAACAGGATATACATCAAGACAAACAGTTGTACATCAAGACAAACAGTTATACATCAAGACAAACAGGTATGGTATAAACCTTGGTAATAAATACCGACAAGTTGGTTTAGAAAGACACGTAAGCAAACACTATAACATATTTATTAGAAAACGTTTCGGTCCTGGGACCTTGATCACTGGGACCTTGATCAAGGTCCCAGGACCGAAACGTTTTCTAATAAATATGTTATAGTGTTTGCTTACGTGTCTTTCTAAACCAACAAACAGGTATACATCAAGACAAACATGTATGCATCAAGACAAACAGGTATGCATAAAGACAAACAGGTATACATCAAGACAAACAAGTATACATCAAGACATACAAGTATACATCAAGAAAGACTCACAATTTTCATTTTCTTCTCTGCAAGTAAGCTTCCATAAATACTTGCAGACTCGCCACAAATACTCAATCACCACAAACGGAGGAACAAGGGCTGGCTTAAAGTCATACTCCTGGATAAGCCTCAGCATCTCAAACTTCCAGATCACCATACTGTTTTCCTGCACCTCATCAAACACATACCTGTGGGAAGTCTACAGGTGTAATTATCTAGAAGATGTAGGCTACTCTATACTTATACTGTTAATACAGCAGCCCTCCCTGTATCCATGGGGGATATGTTCCAAAACCTACCATGGATACCTGAAACTGTGGACAGTAGTGCACCCTCTTTATAAGTTGTTTTTTATTTACATATATATATCTATGATAATGTTTAACTGATGGTGGGTCATTGGGCTAATCCGGGGAGGTGGAGACATGGACCTGCTCTGCATGGGTCAGTAGGCCTGTTGCAGTGTTCCTTCTTTCTTATGTTCTTATAAATTATTCACAATAAGTCAAGAATTAGCACTTTTTCACTCATGGAAGCACTTGGAAGAACTGCCAGCATCACTACTTTTGTAATTTGGGGACATTATTAAGCAAAATTAAGGGTTATTTTCTGGCCATGGTAAATTATGGATAACTGAAACAGCAAAAGCAGAATCCGCAGATACATTTTTTTTTTTTACTGTACTACACTGCCTCTTAGATTAATGCTCCATGGCAAGAATATATCACTTGGTTCAATAGACATATATACTAGTAATGTTATTTATAACTTTAGTTGTGATAAAAGAAGCAAGGGGTTAGTAACCCTCTTCTCTTGTATAAATTACCAAATGCAAAAAGAAGAAAAACTTTATAAAAGTTTTTTCTTCTTTTTTCAGGTTAACCTCCCTTGGCTGGTGTGTTAATAAAAATGTAGGCTACTCTCTTAACCAAATACAAACAATATTATTTTTTTATATTCCCCATTTTTTGCCCATGTATGGAGTCTGCTTCTACTGTGTCACTGTTCACTTTATTCTGCTTCCTTGCCACAAATGTTTTAGAAATGTTTCCAAATATTGCCAGAAGGCCCATCAAAACCACAGGTATGAGACCTAAACCTTATGTAACCCTCTTCAAGAATCATCTGGCCTCTCATGTACAAGACGGCCTCATTCATACACCAAATTATGTTCAGGGTTACTGCTGTAAACTTAAATTACTGTAAGGTGAAACATAGCCTTTTTTACACTTTCAAATGTATATAAAAGCCTGATAACATGTTTACACTATCATAAATTAAGTTAGCAATAGAGCTATGCATAAAAAATGTAAATATATATATTAAGTGAGCAATATGCCTAAAAAATGTATTTATAGTACACACGTTACTTACCTTAAAATATTTTCACCCTTAGCCCACAGTGAGTGATGAATATATTTACTGTAGGAAGTCTGAATAAATGAAGAATAGGTATAATTGAAAACCTCTGCATTAACGAAACACTGTAAAGTGAAGAGCTGTAAAGTGGGGCCCTCCTGTACTTCCTTGCTCAATATCACCCTTGAGAAGCTACCTTCAATCACACATTAATAAACCATCATGGAATATTTCTCTTACCCCTTTCTGTCACCCTATACACCATATCTTTATCCTCCCTTAACATCCATAAATATGAATAACTTAAATGTAATGAACAACTGTCAATATTCGATAATAATCCACATGAAGACAGAAATTCAAATTAACTGATCAGTATACATGTATTTTGACCCCTTTCAGAGGTCCTTTGGATTTCCCTTCTCCTGAAGAGGATCCCAGAAGGGGGTTGAAATATACAGATCAATTAACCCTTTCAGGGTCCCCAGGCCCTCTCAGAGACTTGTTCTCTGGGTCACCAAAATTTCAAAAAAAAAAAACAAAAATAATTTTTTCTTATGAGAAAATAGTTTTTTTTTTTAAACATTATAGGCTAAACAAATTTTTTTTACCGTCAATACGTACCGAGATATGGAGGCGTGAAGTTGACAGAAAATGCCCCATATATGGTAACATCGCCGACTGCCGTCACCCGATATTACTTTATTTTGTTTTTTAGGTACTATTTTCTATTATTTTTTAATTTTTTTTCCAAGTGACTTTTATGGCCTGTGAGACCAACATGAGCACTATTTCATAAGTTTTTTCTCTTTATTTGCTACACAATAACTGCACAAACACTGTTGTCCTTATATTGTTTATAATTGTTGTTTACACACACAAACGATATAAAATGTTGTTTATTACTATTTTTCTATATTTTATATACACATATACAGTCACAGGGAATGTTTCTAGAAGTTCTGCAGCCTGTGGAACTCTTTGAAACATGGTGTCATGCACAGAGGTGTTTTACACTCCTCACACATAAAATGAGTGTCTCTGCATTGTTGTGGGCGTTTTTTTGTATATGTACAGACGTAACACCTCTTCTGAGCCTTTTTCTTGAAAGCAACAGCAGGCAGTTTTACTAGGAAGTGATCACCATGCTTCAGAGGAGAAGGTAGTTGATAATTTAGTGAGCGGTCTATTGCAGATGTTGTTCCTTGGTACTTGAATACTATTTGTCTGATGACAGACAAACAGAATTTGCCATATGGTGGTTTGTTTCTGGTCCTCATCTGATACATATTATAAGCATTGAGCATGGAAATGTCCAGAAGATGGAAAAAGAGTTTTATGTACCACTTATAACTCTTGCAAACACAATCAGCAAACCCAATCTGCATGTCACATTTGTACACTGAGTCGCATATTAACCCTATGACTGTCGCAACCCCCAATCCTGAGGTGTCTCCTGGTGTCGAAAAATTAAAAAAAAAAAAAAAATTATTTTTTCTTATAAAATGATAGAAAATCTTTTCCCGATTGTAAAGACACCAAAAAAACGAAATTGATGGAAAACTGATGGAATTACGCTCTCGTGAAGTTAGCGAACCTCGGCGATATTTACAAATCGGCGATTTCGCCCATTTTGAGCCCTATTTTCGGCTAATTCCATTATTCCAGTCAACCAAACTCATAGCTATTTCTTCAGAACTCCATTTTTTCCATCGATTGAGTACAAGAAACTGCCCATTTACCAATTTCAACTACCCAATAACATGGTCAGAAATTTGCAATTTGGCCAATTTCACAAAAATTGAAAAATATGACAATTTCAAAATAAGGACCAGAATGAACAATAAAGACATTCCTGGCTCTAAAATAACATTTTCTTTGTTCATCAGTCATGTCTCCAGGCCCCTCTGATATTACTCTTACTTTTTATTTTGAAATTTTATTCAAACAAAAAATAGAAGATTTACTGTTATGCAGACTACTGCAATACTGTAGTAATTGTAAAAATTACATCAACCCATTCATGACTGCATATCAGAATGGCTATTTGAACATTTATTGGACAATGACATCATTTGTTTACTTTTGAACATCGGCAAAAATCAAACATTTCCCGTACTTTGTGCTCCATTTCCAGGTTCTTTGTATAGTAAAATTAATCAAAATCACTTCTATTTCTATAATATAATTTCCATTCTATCAAATGAGACCAAGAAAACGAGAATACAACCACAAATACTATACGAAAATAGACCACAAAGTCGACATTTTAATTAAAAAAAACGGTCGGAGATTTTTTTTTCTCATTATGCACTGCGTGCTCCAGGATTTTTTTTATATGGTGCACACTGACCACACAGACCCATTCTCTCACATGTAGGCCTACCAGCTTTCTCCTGTCCTGATTTGAAGCCGCTAGAATTTATGAGTATATATACGTCAAACACGGTACCTCGTAAACGTATATATACTGGCCGCGACAGTCAAAGGGTTAAGGGTGTAATCAATCACAGCTGCAGGTTTTAGAATGGGTTCATTGCTCTCTCTATGCTGCCTGCCAGTGTTTGTCATTTCGTTAGGGGAAACTGATGACAACAGTGTGACATCTCGTTTGTCATGCCACTGAAATGCCATGATGTCATTGGCAGCAAATGCCTGCACCTCACCTCTACGAGTGCCAGCGTCAAACCTGGGCATATGTTTACGATTTCCACGCACTGTGCCACACACATCTGTCATGTTCACTTGCAATAAATCACTGAGTGAGGGGCTTGTGTCCCAATTATCAGTATATAATATATGCCCCTTACCAAGGTATGGTTCTATCATTGCTCTAACCACATCACCAGAGATGCCCAATAACTTCCTGGTATTTTGCAATGTATTACTTTCAGTGTACACAATAATATCCAATACCAGACCACTGTAACAATCACAAAGCAAAAACAACTTTATACCAAAACATTTTCTCTTGCTTGGTATATACTGCTTGAATGAAAGTCTTCCTTTCGAACAGAATCAAAGGGACAAAAATACATATTGAATTTCTGTTTCATATACACAAACACATTCCTAATCTTATATAACCTGTTGTTTCTGTAAGGTCTTGTTTTGTCTGAGAAGTGAAGCATACGTAACAGTAGCACAAATTGATTCACTCACATTATATCACTGAAACCTGAGGTTGCAATCAGGCGGTCTGTTGACCAGTATGATTTCACACTGTGCTTATACACATGTGGCATAAGCATTATTGTGGCAAAGAAAAGATACATCTCAGCCACAGTTGTCTCCTTCCACTTGTGTAGCCGTGAGCTTGGTGAAAGTGTTGTGTTTGCCATGGTGTACTCGTAGTATCTGTTGCTTTCCCTGACAATAATTTCCATCAGGGGTTCGTCAAAGAATAACTCGAAACATTCCAGTTCAGTGTACAACATTGGCTGTATTCCACTTCGGCTTTCATCAAACTGGTGGGGATTTGGAACAAAAATTAACAGCTTCCTGCCAATCCCAGGTGCAGGCTGCTGGTGGGTACTGGACATTGACAGGTGGTTGTGGTTGTGGAGGCTAGGTGTGGTGGGTGGGTGGGGGATGGTGGCCTTTACTGTAGATCAGCTGAGGCAGTGGCGTGGGTGGCAGCATGGCCCACTGCTGGTGCCTCACGGCCAGCACCACCACTACCACCACGATGCACATTTTCCATCCCAATTGCAACACTATCATCGTCATTTTCACTGTCTGTTCCTGTTGTACAGCCACAGGATGTACTCCGAGATGTATTCCTTCACCTTGGAATATGGCACACTACCAGAGCACATATATCGTCGTATATACTGGCACTTCACTGGAGAATATTTCACTTCACTATCGCTACTGAAAGTGTTTTCAAGAGCTTGTAGTTCATATTCACTATCACTGTCATTATCAATGCTCACATCTGAGTCCGGGATTTGGGAAAATAGGAGCTTCCTCTTTGATTCTGGTGCATCTGAACGTGAACAAGACGGCCCAGCAGCAGAGGTGGAAGGCTGAGGGTCGTCTGGGTTTCCCTCACTATTACCGATATTATGGTCATTGGTTTCGGTCAAAACCTTACCAAAACCTTGAAACTCATCTTCACTGGCACTTCCATCTGTATTAGAACTGTCACTGGGGAACAAACGTGTCCCAATTCGCCGAGGAGTGAGGAGCTTCTTACTGCGAGGCATGGTGAACAAGGTCTACTAAAATGGCGTTCCCACAATGCGCCACTGGGTCCCAGATTTGAAGGCGCTAGAATTTATGCGTACTAGTAAGTCAAAAACCCTGGCGCGTAAGCTGTACTAGTACGGCTGGAACCCTGAAAGGTTTAATCTCCTGAGTTTGTTTCCATGGGAGTTATTACTGAGCATCCATAAATATCTTAATTATTATTCTGACCTATTTATGCCATAAATTTTTCTTATGGTATTCTTTTAAACAGCCTGAATTTTAGATTTGTGCCTCATTCCATGTCCATATTTTACTCAAAAATATATCCATTTTCTTTAACACACTGTCTCCCACCGAGGTAGGGTAATCTAAAAAAGAAGAAACATTACCATCACTCACTCCATCACTGTCTTGCCAGAGGGGTACCAATTCATAACTGCAAAATATCTCCACTCCTCCTTCAGAGTGTATTAAAAAATGAGAAAGTTGGACTCACGTGAAGATAGCAATGAGGAGATTGAGCAGCATAATGTTGCCAATAATTAAGTAGAAGAAGAGCATGAGGTTGACAACCCAGGAGTAGTCTGTGGGGTTCTCACACACACAATCCAACTCCTTCGTACAGCTTGTATTATCCTTGAAACAAACCTCATTCACCCAACACGACTTCTGGTGACACACCTGTTCGTCCTCACCTGAAATACAGTGCAACTAATACCAAGCACTGACATAAACAATAATGTAGCATCCTGAAACAGTAATCTGAATGGCTCAACAATCTGTCCTTAATAACAATTGTAAAGAAACATTTAATAATTGTAATAATATATATTTTCCCTTTCCCAAGGACATAACACTGTCATGTGTACTGCTGCCTTCTCATGGACAGCTGTCTCTCCTTCTCCTCCTGACCAATACTCCCTGACACACCCACTGCATCACCTCCTGATCATTTTGAAACCTCCGACCTTCACTCTACTTTGGCCATGCTCCAGCTTCTAGCCAGTCTGTCATAGAACAGACTGGTTAGAAACCACCATCAAAACGACCTTGACGATCCTGACACTCTTACTGACACATCTTCTTGTCCCTGTTCTAAAAAACACACTAAGCTATATTCCAGTTACAACCTTGGATAAAATTCTTTTCTCTTCAGCTGACAACCCCTACTGATTACCATACTGATCATAGCAATAGTAATGTTTCATGAGGAGTGTTGACCCAAATGTGACCTTTCATGCCCTCAAGAGTGGGATGCACATTATCATTATAAAGAATGTTGAACAAGCTTACAATTTCTCCTGTATCAGTTCTAGTGACAAAACCCAGTCACAGTACACAAGCATTCCTTTCTTAATTTTAGACACAGTATTATCCCACACACTATAGTCCAACAAGACTTTATTCAATGTGACCCAGAGATCTATGAACTTGAACTTCAGAATGTAATAGTAAGCCAAAGTGGAGACATATTCACCCTGCCTGAGGTCAGAGACAATATCAAAACAACATTGTCAAGCTGACCTTTGACTGTCAAGATTTCCAGCCTCAGTTTACATAGCAGGACAAGGCTTACAAGGGCAGAAACTAATCCCAACACCTCAATAATGCAGACATTGCTGGCACTTTGGCGGTGCAACATCCTCCCAGCGAAAAGCAGGGAGTACCATTAGTACACTAAGAGCCAGCACAATAAGTAACAGGGCCCAATACTGTTTAACTGCCTCCCAGTATACAGAAGGGGGATTACCAATAGACCCCTGGCTGTCTTCAAGAGGCAGCTGGACAGGCACCTAAAGTCAGTACCAGACCAGCCAGGCTGTGGTTCATATGTTGGTTTACATGTGGCCAGCAGTAACAGCCTGGTTTATCAGGCCCTGATCCACCATGAGGCCTGGTCATGGACTGGGCCATGGGGGCATTGACCCCAGAACACCCTTCAGATATACTACCAAATATTGTATATCACTGGCAGAATGTACAGTCTGGGAGCTGACTATAATAATCCATCTTGCAGCACCTTCCCAACTTGCCTTAACTGTGCAGAAGTTCACCCAGCATATTCTCATGATTGCCTAGTTTTTTTTACAAGAAAAGAGTAAGGTGATGAGGGCATCAAATGACTTAGATAAAGAAAAATTGGATATCAAATTGGGGAGGAGGAGTATGGAAGAAGTGAATGTTTTCAGATACTTGGAAGTTGACGTGTCGGCGGATGGATTTATGAAGGATGAGGTTAATCATAGAATTGATGAAGGAAAAAAGGCGAGTGGTGCATTAAGGTACATATACATGGAGACAAAAAAACGTTATATATGGAGGCAAAGAAGGGAATGTATGAAAGTACAGTAGTACCAACACTTTTATATAGTGGGCAAGTTATTAGAATCAATTATAGCTGACATAATCAGAAGTCACCTTGAAGAGCATAACTTGATAAATGAATCTCAGCATGGATTCACGAGAGGTCGTTCCTGCCTGACAAACTTACTGACGTTCTTCAATAGAACATTTGAGGCAGTTGATAGTGATAAGGAATATGATATTGTTTATTTGGATTTTAGTAAAGCCTTCGACAGAGTACCTCACAAGACACTCTTAAGAAAAGTGGCAGCTCATGGTATAGGAGGTAAAGTTCTAGCATGGATTGAGGCATGGCTTACCAATAGAAAGCAAGAGAGTTACCATTAATGGAGTGAAATCTGAATGGGGATTAGTCACTAGTGGCGTTCCACAAGGATCAGTTTTAGGCCCTCTCTTGTTCATAATTTACATTAATGACCTTGATGAAGGGATTACTAGTGACATGAGTAAGTTTGCTGATGATACAAAGATAGGCCGTATAATTCACTCTGAGGAGGATATCAATGAACTCCAGGACGATTTGAACAAATTAATGTCTTGGTCTGAAAATGGCAGATGAAGTTTAATGTGGATAAGTGTAAGGTACTTGCCCTTGGTAATGAAAATAACCCTCGAAGCTATAATCTAGGTGAAGTAGAGCTTGGTCATACAGAATGTGAAAAAGACTTGGGAGTCATGGTAAGCAGAAATCTAAAGCCAAGACAGCAGTGCCTTAGTGTGCGCAACAAGGCCAACAGATTACTTGGATTTATCTCAAGAAGTATAAGTAACAGAAGTCCAAAAGTTATTTTACAGCTCTATACATCACTAGTGAGGCCTCATTTAGATTATGCTGCTCAGTTTTGGTCCCCTTACTACAGGATGGACATAGACTCATTAGAGAACATACAGAGAAGAATGACTAAAATGATTTACGTGTAAGGAACCTCCCGTATGAAGATAGACTTAAAGCCTTAAATCTCCACTCTCTGGAGAGGCGTAGAATGAGGGGAGATATCATTGAAGTGTATAAGTGGATGACGGGCATAAACAAGGGAACTTTAATAAAGTACTGAGGGTGTCGAACCAGGTAAGAACCAGGAATAATGGATTTAAGTTGGGATAAATTTAGATTTAGAAAGGACATAGGTAAAGTACTGGTTTTCTAACAGAGTTGTAGATGCGTGGAACAGTCTTCCCAGTGGGGTGATAGAGGCTAGGACCTTGGTAGCTTTAAGAAGAGACTGGACAAATATATGAGTGGGAGGGGCTGGGTTTGATTGGTGTTAAGGGGTACGGGAGTTATTTCTTGAGTAGCTTTAGGTAGATGTCGTTTTGATAAGGACCTGTCTCGTATGGGCCAGTAGGCCTTCTGCAGTGTTCCTACATTCTTATGTTCTTATGTTCTTATAGGTGTGAAGCTTGGGTTGTAAATGCTGCAGCGAGGAGGCAGTGGAGATGTCCTGTCTAAGGGCAATGTGTGGTGTGAATATTATGCAGAAAATTCGGTGTGTGGAAATTAGGAGAAGGTATGGAGTTAAAAAAAAAGTATTACTCAGAGGGCTGAAGAGGGGTTGTTGAGGTGGTTTGGTCATTTAGATAGAATGGAACAAAGTAGAATAACATGGAGAGCGTATAAATCTGTAGGGTAAGGAAGGCGGGGTAGGGGTCGTCCTCGAAAAGGTTGGAGGGAGGGGGTAAAAGAGGTTTCGTGGGTGAGGGGCTTGGACTTCCAGCAAGCGTGCGTGAGCGTGTTAGATAGGAGTGAATGGAGATGAATGGTATTTGGGACCTGATGAGCTGTTGAAGTGTAAGCAGGGTAATATTTAGTGAAGGGATTCAGGGAAGCCGGTTATTTTTATATAGCCGGACTTGAGTCCTGGAAATGGGAAGTACACTGCCTGCACTTTAAAGGAGGGGTTTGGGACATTGGCAGTTTGGAGGGATATGTTTTGTATCTTTATACGCTTCTATACTGTTGTATTCTGAGCACTTTTGCAAAAACAGTGATTATGTGTGAGTGAGGTGAAAGTGTTGAATGATGATGAAAGTATTTTCTTTCTTTTTTGGGTCACCCTGCCTCGGTGGGAGACAGCCGACTTGTTGAAAAAAAGAAAATAATCTGCTGTCTCAACAAAAACACATGCCTATCATATGCTATGGAAGTGACTCAACTCTGTCTCTACGAAAGACTTCCAAGGCTCTCTTACTCCAGAGTTGCTCAGCACCCACAGGTCCCTGTTGTACCCTTTCCTTCAGTCACCCATTTTCAACACTTATGAAGTCCTCACCTCTGACGGTCCTACCTCTTCATCCTCTCCAATTCTTCCTACTTCAGGATGGGTATGGGGTGCATAATAAAGATATTAAACTAACTAACTAAACTATGTGAATGCAGCAGCAAGGAGACGGTTGGAGGCAGTGGAGATGTCCTGTCTAAGGGCAATGTGTGGTGTAAATATTATGCAGAAAATTCGGAGTGTGGAAATTAGGAGAAGGTGTGGAGTTAATAAAAGTATTAGTCAGAGGGCTGAAGAGGGGTTGTTGAGGTGGTTTGGTCATTTAGAAAGAATGGCTCAAAGTAGAATGACATGGAGAGCATTTAAATCTGTAGGAGAAGGAAGGTGGGGTAGGGGTCGTCCTCGAAAAGGTTGGAAGGAAGGGGTAAGGGAGGTTTTGTGGGCGAGGGGCTTGGACTTCCAGCAGGCGTGCATGAGCGTGTTCGATAGGAGTGAATGGAGACGAATGGTATTTGGGACCTGACGATCTGTTGGAGTGTGAGCAGGGTAATATTTAGTGAAGGGATTCAGGGAAACCAGTTATTTTTATATAGCCGGACTTGAGTTCTGGAAATGGGAAGGACAATGCCTGCACTCTAAAGGAGGGGTTTTGGGATATTAGCAGTTTGGAGGGATATGTTGTGTATCTTTATACGTATATGCTTTCTAAACTGTTGTGTTCTGAGCGCCTCTGCAAAAACAGTGATTATGTGTGAGTGAGGTGAAAGTGTTGTATGATAATGAAAGTATTTTCTTTTTGGGGATTTTCTTTCTTTTTGGGTCACCCTGCCTCTGTGGGAGACGGTCGACTTGTTGAAAAAAACAAAAAACACTAAACTAGCCCCGTAATAATAATAAATGACCTACTTGTGTAGCTACAGCTAGCTGAGTGATAAACATGAGGCCGACCGTACCTGCAATACACCAATAACCCCGACTTATGAGACTGAAATTTGACTTGTTATGGTTCAACTTGGGCTGAAATGCCATCATAAGTTTCAGCCTCATAAGTTCAAGCTATTTGTGTATTGTTCTATCCAAGATATTATGACTTTTTATTCTTACCTGCAATCTCCTCCAGTTGGAGTTCTCCATACATTTGCCAGTAGGGAGTAAGCAGCACATCCTTCATGATATTGGAGATGCTAGTGGAGTTGAGGGTGAATGCACTGCGTGAGAGGTGCAGCAGTGACTGCGAGGCGATGCCATACCCAAGGATGAAGATCACCAGCAGAGCCAAGAACACCAGTACCTCTGAGATCTATAAAGAGAACAACACTTTACATCTCCATTCTCCATTTCTTAATTCAGATTATTTATTTCATTATGATACAATGTTTGTACAGAGATGGGTGACATTTAAGTGTACATGCAGGAAGCCCCTTAATATGTAGAAACATTATTAGGACAAGTATCAGTCTGGTGGGATGCCAAAATAAGATATTTTGTTTTATCACCATTTTTAAAATTGTTCAAACTAAGTTTTTCACCTTCTATAATAGAGAATAACAATTTTCATTTCATTTACTTTATACAATATAGGTCCACACCCCTTTATCCAAGACCCTTGGGGCCAGTAGTGTTTCGAATTTCAAAATGAAGGTGGGGTCTAGGGCAGCACCCCATAATCAAACATTAACACTGCAGCAAACGCGTATGAATACTTACACTAAGTGGGATAAATAAAGACTACTAATACTACTATGGTTTATTTATAGAGTAATATATTGATAAATGAAATAATGGGATAATTATAGACCAGGAACATGATTCTCAAGACGATTGATAGACAGCAGTTGTAAAGACTTCTTCAGATTGCCATTATGTCTTATCAAACATTAGGTCCTCTGTCTAAGTAATCTCTCTTTAACCCCTGGACTGTTGCAACCCAAATCCTTGAAGGGCCTCTAGTGTTGCCAAAATTTCCCCCCCAATAAAATAAATTTTTTCTTAGAATGATAGAGAATCTTTTTCCCAATTGTTAATGCACAAAAGGCCGAATTTTGATGGAAAACTGACGGAATTCGTTTTCCCGTGAAGTAGCGACATTGGGACATTATGAATCTGGCGATTTGCTCACTTTGAGCCCTTGTTTTCGGCTAATTCCACTGTTCCAGTCAACCAAAATCATAGTATTTCTTTAGACTCTATTTTTTTCTATCGATTGAGTACAAGAAACTGCCCATTTAACAATTTCAACTACGTGTATTAGACCAAGATAATGTAGTCAGAGAAATTTGCAATTTGGCCAATTTCATGGAAAATTAAAAAATGACAATTTTCTAAAAAGGGTCCAGAGATGAACATCAGACTTCCTGGCTCTCTAAAATAACATTTTCTTTGTTCATCAGTCACATCTTCAGGCCCCTCTGATATACTCTTGCTTTCGATTCTTGAATTTTTTATCAAACAAAAAATAAAAGATTTCCTGTTTTTGCAGACTTCTGCTATATGTATTAATTGTATTATAAAGTCAAACCATTCATGACTGCCATTTAGAATGGCTTCTTGGACATTTTTGGAAAATGAATCATTTGTTACTTTTGAAACTTTGGCCAAAAAATCAAACATTTCCCCTACCTTGAGTTCCATTCAAGGTTCTTTTTAATAGTAAACACCAAAATCACCTCTTATTTCTATAATTTGTTTTTCCATTCTATCAATATGAAACAGGAATACGAGGAATACAACCATATTTACTATACTAAAATTGACCACAAAAGTCGGCTTTTAAATTATAAAAAAAATCGGTAGTCTGCGTTTTTTTTTTTCTAATTATGCACTACGTGCTTGCAGGATATTTTATATAGTGCCACAATGACCACACAGCCCATTCGTCACCATGGGGGCCTACCAGCTTTCTCCTGCTACGATTGAAGCTGTAGAAATTTATGGTACAGTGCGTCCTTCGCTTTCGTAGTCCCGCAGTCGTACATTTTGCCAATCATTGGGTTATTTTAGTATAAACCATGGACTCGCTTTTCATAAGTGACTCGCGAGTCATATTTCGTACGGACCGCTGTTCCCACGGCGGAAGCCGTGGCGGCAGCAGTCTGGCATTTGTTTACCAGTCGGCGAAGGTCCCTCACGTGCTCCAGAAAATATTTCATAATATTCCTTTTTTTGTGCTTGCATGTACTTAATAAGCTTCCATGGCTCCAAAAGAGTAGATAAGCTCTAGTTGAATGCCAAGCTGTGGTTAAAAAGATGTGAGAAAACGATTTGGAATTTAAGAAAAACCATCATTGATACAATTATGAATGGTGGTTCAAGTGTGGCCGACACTGTCCGGATGTATAAGAAACCCTACACAACCTTATGTTCCATAGTGGCCAAGAAATGGAAATCATGGACACTGTGTTGCAAAGGGAGTAACTATGTTGACAAAACTGAGATCACCAGTACTCGAGAGGTTGAGAAGTTATTATGGTGTGGATAAAATGAGAACAATTAGCAGGAGATACTCCTTATGAACTTCGATTAATTTGTTTTGTAAAAGGCTCTAGGCAAGCTGCATGAAGATTTGGTAAAGAAATTGCCTGCAAATAGTGGTGATGTGAGTGAATTTACAGGCCAGCAAGGTGGTTTGAGTGATATTTTAAGGAACCGTTACTGGCATACACAGTGTAGTACGGCATGGTGAGGCTGCCGTTGGACCACAATGGCGGCTCTGAAAAAATATGTGCATGAATTCCAGGAAGTTCCATAGAGGCTGAAAGGGACGATAACCTGAACAAGTGTTCAAATTGTGACGAAACAGGCTCTTTTGGAAGGAAATGCCAAAGAGGACATATTACACAAGCGGAAAAGGCCAATGCCAGGACACAAGCCTAGAAAGACAGGCTGACACTAATCGTTCTGCCATAATGCTAGTGGGGATGTCCAAAGTGAAGCCAATTACATTACTTGGTGTTACCATTAGAAATCCCAGTGTGTTCAGGAAAAAAACATGTTACGAAGAGTAAATTGTGTGTGTTTTGGAAATCTATTAGTAAGGCAGGGTCACGAGAGGGAAATTCGTCGAGTGGTTCAATGAAGTGTTTGGCCTAGTGTGAAGGAGCATCTCCTGGAAAACGAAAAATTGGATCTCAAGTGCCTGCTAGTAATGGACAATGCACTGCTCATCCTCCAAACTTGGATGACCTAATTTTTGGAGGGAGTTTGGGTTCATCACAGTAAAGTTCTTGCCCCCGACTACCACTCCCTCTCTCCAGGCCCATGGACCAGCAGGTCATTGCAACTTTAAAAAAATCTACACAAAAGCAATGTTCACAGAGTGCCTTGACTGTGACCACAGACATCACTTGACCCTAAGGGAATTTTGGAGAAAACACTTCAGCATCTCCACTTGCATAACCTTATAGGTATGACTTGGGGGAGGGAGTGTCTTACAGGGCTTTGAGCTCTGCTTGGAGAAAAATCTGTGGCCAGATTGTGTCAGACTAGAGGATTTTAAGGTTTGGGAATGGACCCTAATGAGCTATGTTGTTGTAAAATCAATGTGGCAATGGGAGTTCCATGGGTTGGATGGTGAGTATGGCGGATGTGGAAGAATTTGGTGGAAGACCAACGAAAAGCTCACCACTGAGGAGCTGCCAAGAGCTTCAGCAGGAAGAGCAACACACCGCAGCTCAGAAATCTTGCTGCAGGAGGATTCTTAATATATATTTAATCCTTATTCCTTCAACATAAAATACATATCAAAAAACATTATTTTTTAAATAATTTAAAGCAAACATTCTCCCCCCTATCCCCCCCCCCCCCCCCCCCCCCCCCCCCCCCCCCCCGCCCCCCCCCCCCCCCCCCCCCCCCCCCCCCCCCCCCCCCCCCCCCCCCCCCCCCCCCCCCCCCCCCCCCCCCCCCCCCCCCCCCCCCCCCCCCCCCCCCCCCCCCCCCCCCCCCCCCCCCCCCCCCCCCCCCCCCCCCCCCCCTAACAAGGTTGTTATGCAAGCCATATTGGCAAACATGTACGTGACAGTCTTGGCCATTTTAGGGAAGTGTTAAGGAGGAGATGCCAGAAACAGAGCTCTTCCACAAGTTATTTGCAAGAACAGGACTCCATTGACTCTCAAGGTAGTCCGAGTTGGCATTAAGACAGAAACTGAGAGACCAAGCAACCCAGAAAAGCAAATTGGTACCTGAGGTGTTGCTGAAGGGAATTCCCTTCCAAACTATAAACAATCCCACTCTCTTCCTCCTCCAGTCTCCCATACATAAGAAGAATCCTCCAATAAAGGTAATGTATTATATGTTGTGTTTCATTTATCATGTCCCATTGTATTGTTTATGTACTACATGTATATTTCTGAAAAATTTTTTTTGTTTTAATACTTCTGGGTGTCAGGATTGGATATTAATTGTATTTACATTATTTCTTATGTTAATCTAGGGAAAATTGATTCATAAAATCGTTAATTTCGTTTATAGTAACGGCTCCAGGTCGGATTAATTATTGAAAAACGAGGGACCCACTGTATTATACGGCAAAACGGTTGGCTGTTTAAAACGTATATATTAAGACCCGAAACAGTCAAAGGGATAAACTGAGAAAATTGCCATAATCTCTTGCTCCACTGGATAAATGCAAGTTGATCACAGGCCAGCAATTAACTGATCACCACATTTTCACATTACTTCTCATGGGGATTTTCTCACCTGTGTTCACAGTGATATCATCATTGTCATCCTATTTTTCATTAGTTTTTTGGTCATTCACTGTCACTATAAAATACTCCAGTAAATTGACTTTCTGTTTCTTTAAATCATAAACAGTGGTAGTTCCAACATGGCGGCGCTGGAGGGTGTTATGTTACATGAATGTTGCTCCACACTCCCACGAATACTTTGGTTTTAGTACTTCTTCGAATTTCTGAATTTTTGGATAAAGGGAGTGGATCTGTACAATATTTTTTTTTTTTAATTTCTTTATGCAGTACATCTATTGCTTTTTACATGTTATTATAATCATGGTAGGACAAAAGAAATCCACCTAGTACGCAATTTCAATTTAGGCAAACTTTTTGTTTATATTTTTAGTTTTCTCCATAGGGAAGTGAAAAAGAATTTTTTCTCCATAAGTCGTGTGTGTTGTATGAGGGGATTAAAATGCCAGGAGAATGGGGCTAGTAACCCCTTCTCCTGTATATATTACTGAAGTTAAAAAGAGAAACAAAATTTTTTCTTTTTATGTCACCCTGCCTCGGTGGTCACCTACATTGGTAGTGGTCACCTTGCCTCAGTGTTCACCCTGCCTCGGTGGTCACCCTGCCTCAGTGGTCACCCTGCCTCGGTGGGTTATGGCCAATTTGGGGAAGGAAATAAAAAGAGAAACGAAAGTTTTTCTTTTTAGGTCACCCTGCCTCTTTCAAATGGAACTCAATATCTTTCTTACCATCCAAATAAATAGAATCCACCAATCACAATCAGATTTGTCTAATTTGTGACTGTTATAATAGCTCTGCTCTTGTAGCTAACAAAAACAGATAATTACCGACCATGGAAAATCAAATACAAAATGGGAGTTGACATAGTTACTTTTTGCTGATGATACTGTGCCTATGGAATATTCTAAAGAAAAGTTGCAAAGTTAGTGGACGAGTTTGGGAGAGTGTGTAAAGGTAGAAAAGTCAAAATGTGGAACACATTAGAAGTAAGGTCATGAGGGTGTCAAATGATTTAGATAAAGAAAAATTGGATATCACATTGGAGAGAGGTAGTATGGAAGAAGTGAATGTTTTCAGATATTTGGGAGTTGATTTGTCAGCAGATGGGTTTATGAAAGGATGAGGTTAAAATCTACGAGATGATGAATGATAAAAAGGTGAGTGATGTGTTGAGGTATTGTGAGACCAAAAAATGCCTATCTATGGAGGAAAGAAGGGATTATGAAAGCATAGTGGTACCAACATCTTTATAGGGGTGTGGAAGCTTGAGGTTATAATGATGCAGCAAAAGGAGGTGGTTGGAGGAGTGGAGATGTCCTGGTCTAAGGGTAACTGGATGTGGCAATAAATATTTATGCCAGAGAATTTGGAAGTGTGGAATTAGGAGGGGTAATGAATTACTAAAAGTATTAGTCAGAAGGGCTGAAGAGGGAGTTGTTGAGGTGGTTTGGTCATTCACAAGAGAATGGCTCAAAGTAGAATGACTTGGAGAGCGTATAAATCTATAGGGGAAGGAAGGAGGGGTAGGGGCTATCCTCGAAAAGGTTGGAGGGAAAGGGTAAAGGAGGTTTTGTGGGTGAGGGTCTTGGACTTCCAGCAAGCGTGTATGAGCATATTAGATAGGAGTGAATGGAGACAAATGGTTTTTGGGACCTGACGAGCTGTTGGAGTGTGAGCAGGGTAATATTTAGTGAAGAGATTTAAGGAAACCAGTTAGCCAGACTTAAGTCCTGGAAATGGGAAGTACAATGCCTGCACTTTAAAGAAGCGGTTTGACATATTGACAGTTTGGAGGGACTTCTAAACTGTCGTATCTGAGCGCCTCTGCAAAGACAGTGATTATATGTGAGTGAGGCGAAAGTGTTGAGCGATGATGAAAGTATTTTCTTTTTTGGGGATTTTCTTTCTTTTTGGGTCACCCTGCCTTGGTGGGAGACAGCCAACTTGTTGAGAAAAAAAAAATCATTTCTCAAACTCTATTTCTTTCTGCAATATTACAAAATGTAGTTTATGTGTGATAAAACACTGTTAGGCACAAAAGAAAGCCACTAACATGAGCTGCATTTCTGCCAGACTTCCTGATGCTTACAAGCTACTTAAGAACCACAGTATATTTTTTTAATGTATAAAAATGAGGTAGCTAATTGAACAGCAGTACAATTTTAGGTATGTATTAATTCTTTAAACTGATTAGGTGATCTTAGACTGGCTCTGTGTCACCAGGCTCTGTGTCACCAGGCTCTGTGTCACCAGGCTCTGTGTCACCAGGCTCTGTGTCACCAGGCTCTGTGTCACCAGGCTTTGTGTCACAAGGCTCTGTGTCACCAGGCTTTGTTTCACCAGGCTCTGTGTCACCAGGCTCTGTGTCACCAGGCTTTGTGTCACAAGGCTCTGTCACCAGGCTTTGTGTCACTGGGCTTTGTGTCACCAGGCTCTGTGTCACCGGGCTTTGTGTCACCAGGCTCTGTGTCACCAGGCTTTGTGTCACCAGGCTCTGTGTCACCAGGCTTTGTGTCACCAGGCTCTGTCACCAGGCTTTGTGTCACTGGGCTTTGTGTCACCAGGCTCTGTGTCACCAGGCTTTGGAACAATTATAAGAGATGGTGATGAAACAGGTATGGTAAAAAGCATGATTTACAGCACTTTGCTTTACAGAGTTTTGCATATACAGTGGGTTTTCAGTTATAGTAATTCCTCATTTATTCAGACTTCCTACAATAATTATATACACCACTCACTATAAGCTAAGGATGAAAATATTTTAAGGTAAGTAATGTGTTGGTAGACAGCAACCACCCAGGGAGGTACTACCGTCCTGTGGTAGTAGGTTGGTAGACAGTAACCACCCAGGGAGGTACTACCATCTGTGGTAGTGGTTGGTAGACAGCAACCACCCAGGGAGGTACTACCGTCCTGTGGTAGTAGGTTGGTAGACAGCAACCACCCAGGGAGGTACTACCATCCTGTGGTAGTAGGTTGGTAGACAGCAACCACCCAGGAGGTACTTACCGTCTGTGGTAGTAGGTTGTAGACTGCAACCATCCAGGGTGGGTACTACCGTTCTGTCGGTAGTAGGTTGGTAGACTGCATCCACCCAGGAGGTACTACCGTCCTGTGTAGTAGGTTGGTAGACTGTAAACCATCTGGGAGGTACTACCGTCCTGTGGTAGTAGGTTGGTAGACAGCAACCATCCAGGGAGGTTACTCCCGTCCGTGGTGGTAGGTTGGTTAGTCAGCACCACCCAGGGAGGTACTACGTACCTGTGGGTAAGTAGGTTGGTAGACAGCAACACCAGGAGGTAAGTACCGTCCTGTGGTAGAGGTTGGTTAGACAGCAACCACCAGGGAGGTACTACCGTCCTGTGGTAGTAGGGGTGGTAGACAACAACCACCACAGGGAGGATACTACAGTCCTGTGGTAGTAGGTGTTGGTAGACTGCAACCACCCAGGGAGTACTACCGTCCTGTGTAGTAGGTTGGTAGACAGCAACCACCCAGGGAGGTACTCACCGTCCTGTGGTAAGTAGGTTGGTAGACAACAACCACCCAGGGAGGTACTTCGGCCTGTGGTAGTAGGTTGGTAGACAACAACCACACAGGGGAGGGTACTACGCTCCTGTGGTAGTAGTGTTGGTAGACAACAACCACCCAGGGAGGTACTACCTCCTGTGTAGTAGTTGTAGGGACAAACAACCACCCAGGGAGGTACTACCGTCCTGTGGTAGTAGGTTGGTAGACTACCCACCCAGGGAGGTACTTACCGTCCTGTGTAGTAGGTTGGTTAGGAAGCAAACCATCCAGGGGAGGTACTACCGTCCTGTGGTAGTAGGTTGGTAGACAACAACCTCCCAGGGAGGTACTCCGTCATGTGTAGTTTTGTAGGTTGGTTAGACTGCAGCACCCAGGGAAGGGACTACAGTCCTGTGGTATAGTAGGTTGGTCAGACAGCAACCATCCAGGGTGGTACTACCGTCCTTGTGGTAGTAGTAGGTTGGTAGACAGCAACCATTCCAGGGGAGGTACTTACCGTCCTGTGGTAGTAGGTTGGTTGACAGCAACCATCCAGGGAGGTATAACGTCCTGTGGTAGTAGGTTGGTAGACTGCACCACCCGGGGAGTTACTTCCGTCCTGTTGGTAGTAGGTTGGTAGACTGCAACATCCAGGGAGGGTACTACAGTCCTGTGGTGTAGGTTGGTAGACAGCAAACCACCCAGGGAGGTACTACCGTCCTGTGGTTGTAGGTTGTGTTAGAAGCAACCATCCAGGGTTGGTACTACCGTCCTGTGGTAGTAGGTTGGTATAAGCAAACCCTCCCGGGAGGTACTTACCGTCCCTGTGGTAAGTAATGTTGGTTGGTTTAGACATTGCAACCACCCAGGGAAGGTACTACCGTCCTGTGTAGTAGTGTTGGGAGACAGAACCAACCCAGTGGAGGTACTACAGTCCTGTGGTAGTAGGTTGGTAGACGCAACCACCCAGGGAGTTACTAACCATCCTGTGGTAGTAGGTTGGTAGACAAACAACCACCCAGGGAGGTACTACCGTCCTGTGGTAGTATGTTGGTAGACAGCAACCACCCAGGGAAGGGTATACCGTCCTGTGGGTAGTAGGTTGGTAGACAGCAACCACCCAGGGAGGTACTACCGTCCTGTGGTTGTAGGTTGGTAGCCAACAACACCCAGGGAGGTACTACGTCCTGTGGTATTAGGTTGGTAGAAGACAGGCAACCACCCAGGGAGGTACTACCGCCTGTGGTAGTAGGTTGGTAGACAGCAACCACCCAGGGAGGTACTACCGTCCTTGTGGTCGATAGGTTGGTAGACAGCAACCCCCTAGGGAGGTACTACCGTCCTTTGGTAGTAGGTTGGTAGACAACAACCACCCAGGGAGGTACTACCGTCCTGTGGTAGTTAGGTTGGTAGACAACAACCACCCAGGGAGGTACTACCGTCCTGTGGTGTAGTAGGTTGGGAGACGACCACCCAGGGAGGCGGTACTACCGTCCTGTGGAGTAGGTTGGTTAGACAGCAACCATCCAGGAGGGTTACTACCGTCCGTGTAGTAGGTGGTAAGACAACAACCAACCCAGGGAGGTACTACCGTCCTGTGGTAGTAGGTTGGTGGACAGAAACCACCCTGGGACGGTCTACCGTCCTGTAGGAAGTAGGTGGTAGACAGAACCCATCCAGGGGAGGTACTCCCGTCCTGTGGTAGTAGGGTGGTTGACAGCAACCATCAGGGGGGGTACTACGTCCTTGTGGTAGTAGTTTGGTAGACTGCAACCACCCAGGGAGGGTAAATACCGGTCCTGTGGTAGTAGGTTGGTAGACAGCAATCAATCCAGGGGAGGGTACTACCGTACCTGGGTAGTAGGTTGGTTTGACAGCATACTCACCAGGAGGTACTTAACGTCCTGTGGTAGTAGGTTGGTAGACAGCAAACATCCAGGGAGGTACTACCGTACTGTGGTAGTAGGTTGGTAGACAGCAAACCACCAGGGAGGTTACTACCGTCCTGTGGTGTAGTAGGTTGGTAGACAGCACCACCCAGGGATTATACTTCCGTCTGTGGTAGTAGGTGGTAGGACGCAAACCACCCAGGGAGGTCCTACGTCCTGTGGTAGTAGGTTGGTAGACAGCAACCACCCAGGGAGGTTATACCATCCTGGTGTGTAAGGTTGGTAGACAACAACCACCCAGGGAGGTACTACCGTCCTGTGGTAGTAGGTTGGTTGACAGCAACCACCCAGGGAGGTACTACCGTCCTGTGAGTAGGTTGTTAGACAGCAACCACCAGGGGATGGTACTACCATCCTGTGGTAGCTAGGTTGGTAGACAGCTACCACCCAGGGAAGGTACATACCATTCCTGTGGTAAGTAAGGTTGGTTAGACAGCAACCACCCAGGGAGGTACTACCCATCCTTGGGTAGTAGATTAGGTTGGTAGACAGCACCACCCAGGGGAGGTACTACCCATCCTGTGGCGTAGTAGGTTAGGTAGACAGCAACCACCCAGGGAGGTTTACTACCATCTGTGGTAGTTGGTTGGTAGACAGCAACCACTCAGGGATGGTCCTACCGTCATGTGGTAGTTAGGTTGGTAGATAGCAACACTTCAGGGAGGTATACCATCTGTGGTAGTAGTTGGTAGACAGCAACCCCAGGGAGGTACTCCCTTCCTGTGGTAGTAGGTTGGTAGACTGCAACACTCAGGGAGGTTACTACGTCCTGTGGGAGTAGGTTGGTAGACAACAACCACCAGGGAGGTTCTACATCCTGTGGTAGTAGTTGGTAGACCAGCAACCACCCTGGGAGGTACTACCCGTCTGTGGTAGTAGGTTGGTAGACAGCAACACACAGGGAGGGTACTACCATCTGTGGTAGTAGGTTGGTAGACAGCAACCCCAGGGAGGTACTACCATCCTGTGGTTAGTAGGTGGTAGACAGCATCCACCCAGGGAGGTACTACCGTCCTGTGGTAGTAGGTTGGTAGACAGCATAACCACCCAGGGAGGTACTATCCTGCCTGTGGTAGTAGGTGGTAGACAGCAACCACCAGGGAGGTACTACCGTTCCTGTGGTAGTAGTAGGTTGGTAGACAGCAACCACCCAGGGAGGTACTACGTCCTGTGGTAGTAGGTTGGTAGACAGCAACCACCCAGGGAGGTAACTACCGTTCCTGTGGTAAGGTTGGTTGGTAGACAGCAAACCACCCAGGAGTACTACGTCCTGTGGAGTAGGTTGGTTAGCAGCAACACAGGGAGGTACTTACCGTCCTACTTTGGTAGTAGGGTTGGTAAGACAAAAACCACCTGGGAGGTACTACCGTCCTGTGGATAGTAGGGTGTAGACCAGCAACCACCCAGGGAGGTACTACGTCCTGTGGTAGTAGGTTGGTAGACAGCAACACCAGGGAGGTACTACCGTCCTGTGAGTAGTTAGGTTGGTAAGACAACAACCACCCAGGGAGGTACTACCGTCCTGTTGGTAGTAGGTTGGTAGACAACAACCACCAAGGGAGTACTACCGTCCTGTGGTAGTAGGTGGTAACAGAACCAACCCAGGGAGGTACTACCGTCCTGTAGGTAGGTGGTAGAGTAGGTTGGTAGACAGCAACCACCAGGGAGGTACTACCGTCTGTGTAGTAGTAGGTTGGTAGACAGCAACCCACCAGGGTGGTTATACCGTCCTGTGGTAGTAGGTTGGTAGACAGCAACCACCCAGGGAGGTACTACGTCTGTGGTAGTGGTAGTGGTTGGTAGACAGCAACAATCAGGGAGGTTACTACAATAGTGGTAGTAGGTTGGCAGGACAGCAACCACCCAGTGGAGGTAACTACCGTCCTGTGGTAGTAGGTGGCAGACAGCAACCACAAGGGAGGTACTACCGTTGTGGTAGTAGTTGGTAGACAGCAACCACCCAGGGAGGTACTACCGTCTTGTGGTAGTAGGTTGGTAGTACAGCAACCACCCAGGGAGGTTTACCGTCTGTGGTAGTTGGTTGGTAGACAGCAACCACCCAGGG